ACAAACCGGGGCCGAGGATGGGCCAGGTCAGGAGGTGGGTGGGCGCTCAGGAACCTGAACCTAGCTCCCCCGGCCCCAGAACAACACCCCCCCCCTGCGAGGCCAGCTCTGCTCCCCCATCGGGCACCTACACACCATCCAGCTTTCCCCACCTCTGCCCTGTCCAGGTCCGGCTCAGCCAGGACTTGCCCCCTGTGTACAGCTGAGAGCAGTAACCGCAGCAAAGTGGAATTCCTTCAGAGAAAGGGTAAAAGCAGCAGCAGCAGCAAGCCTGAAGAGGGCACACGGAAATCAACACGCTCCTTTCCTCCTCCTTGCTCTCCAGACAGGGACTTCCAGCACTTACTTAACGACATCAGGCCTGCCACACCCCACCGCCGCTGCCGCTTCCTTTCCAGAAGTCACCAGTGAAACCCCCCCCTGCTCAGCTGCACCTACTGGCTCCCGCCCTTGGCCAGACTTCCTAGATGTGTCCTCTCTTTTCACGGGCAGCCCTGGCTGCTGAAAAATGTTTTAATGCCCATCGCTGCTCTACCGCACTGGAAACAACTGGTGGAGGACAGGCCCAGTGTAAAGCCGCTTTCAGCAAGGCGCTTGCTGCATAAGCCAGTCCCCGAGTTGAAGGGGAAAATGAGATCCTTCAATTGCCCAGATTGCTCTTGGCCACCCACGTTACAATATCCCCTCCTGCCCTTTCAATCAGCTTACCGGGCCTGCAAGTGTGCAGGGGCTTTCCTTCCACACCTGCACCCCAATTCTGTCTCTGGACCGAACCCTGGGGACACCCCCTCGCCTCAGCCAGGACGCCTGACCCACCTTAGCAGGGCGTGAAATTCTGTTGTTTCTCCCAAATGACAGGCAGTCTCCCCCAAAAGCCTGTCCCTGGCCTGCTCCCGCCACCAAGCCGTGCTGTGCACAGCCCCCTCCCAGAACAGGGCTGGCAGGAGCTTTGTCCCTTCTCCCCCACCACGGTCACGGTCACGTCCTGCGCTCCCACCACCACAGAAACGCTCGCTCCCACCTCAGTTCACTGACCTGTTCCTGGGCAGCGCTCAAGACAAACCGGGCCCCAGCACAGGGAAAAAAACCAACCAAACTACAGCCAGACAAACGGAAAGGCACCAATATGAAACCAAAGCTGCCAAGAACCGCCCCGTGCCGCAGCTTCCCAGGCGCCCCCTCCACCTGCACAGGACCCCGTGCCCCGGGCAGCAGGACAGATGCCCCCAGGCCGAGCCCCGCGGAGGGTTCCCCGGGAGCAGATCGGCCTCAACA